TCTGTATTTACTTGTTTTTATTCGTGTTTAAGGAAGGGGAGCATGTGGTTTCCCCTGTGACTGCTTTTCTTACCATTTGGTAAGCCGGTTGTAAGATTTTTGTTGAGTGATATGAATTTTTATTGTCGTTTGAAAANTGATGGGTAATATTTGAATTAGTAAAATTCAATTAAAATGAAAAATTCTTGACTTCAAGTTTTAGACTTTTAGGGGGTGATTGGATATGAATTCAACTAGTAAAAAACTAGTTTTTTTTTTAACTATAGTTAAGTTTGAAAAAAAGTAATATGGTTAGTTGTTAGTGGATATATTAAAATAATATTTAAATTAAAATAATTAAAGTTGATTTGATATAAAAGTAGGAGAAAATGATTGGAAGTGATAGTTAGTTAAAATTATGTGAGTGGGTGAATAGTGAATTAAAGTTGATGTGATGTGTAATAATAATTGTTTGATATTATTTAATTATATTGATAATATTGAAGATAGTGGAGTTGAGTTAAAGTTGAGTTAAATTTGAGTTTTGAGTGGAATTTTTACTGTACAACTTATAAACAATCACGCCCTTAGTGTACATATTAATAGAATCTCTTAATGCATAAATGTTGTTATCACATAAATTTTGACAAATGACAATTATTTAGATGGATTGTGAACCAGATAAGATATTTTGTTAAATTCACAACTTTAAATCTAAAAAATTATCTACAATGCACAATCTGATCAAACATAATATTGTCCACTTGAAAAAATAAAAAAAAAAAGATATAAATAACAAACAAAATAAAATTAAATAATTAGATATATTGAAAATAGTAATAATATTTTTCTCTCATCTCTCAATTGGTTGATTAGAATGTAAAAGAGAATGTGGATGAATCACATTCTCTTCTACATTGTGTACATTAATTATGTCCACCTCATCACTGCATTTGTATTATATTGTGGATTGTAGGATTAAAAGTGGAGACATTGCTAAATTTGTTAAATATATGATAAAAAGGTTCTTAGAGCATTGTTTTATGGAAAAAGTGGAGACATTGCTAAATTTGTGCATTATTTTATGGAATTACATTGTAGTAAAATCGAATTTCTGAATAAAAAATTTAACACAACACTTATTTTGAAATGAATATAATATAATATATAATCAATTATGCACACCGTACAGGTTGTGTAATAATTTTAAATAGACATGTTTTATGTAGTATTGCACAATTAGATTTTATATAACATTTTTAATAAATTAATATAGGTAAATTGTATTACATATTGATCCCTATTTTTAATTTAAATATTATTTAATAATTATTTTTAATTTATAAATATTAATGAATATCTCTTATCCGTGCATGGCACGCGATTCGTACTAGTGATTTTGACTAAAATATTAAATTAGCCGCAGAAAATTTCAATTTATAATTTATTTACTAAAACATGTACCAAATATTTATTAAAATATTAACTAAGATTGTAGAAAATTTCAGCTTATAATCTAAGGCGTAGAATATATTCTTCATCTCATCCAATAGTTTACCACATATTTTATTTTGTTATAAATAAAGTAGTTTAGTGAAGATATGCATTATATAATAAATTAATATTATTAAAATTTATAAAATAAAATTAAAGTATACCGTTTTAATTATTAGACACTTGTACTGGTATTTGTGTCATTACAGATGGAGTTAGATATAACTACTTGCATGGAGTGAGGTATAACTACTTGCATGACACAAACTACAAAATATTTAAGTTGTCTTACACAAATATTTATAAAGTATTATTGATATAAAAAATTCTAAGAATATGTATTAACATGAAAGAAAAAAAATGAAACTAGTTAAATTGTCCAACAAAATCTGGCAAAATCTGGCAGAAAAAAGGGTTATTTTAAAATACAAATTAATTTATTTGTTCGTGAAGGACCTATTTATATGCAATACGTTCTTTGTATAATATAACTGAAATCTAAGTTGGATTCCGAATTCAATTCTTATAAATTTATACCATGACTTTTTTTATAGTTAAGATGTTATAATTTCAAATAAAGGTTTGTAATTGATTTCAAATGCCAATTGGAAAATTATAATAATGCTAATCCAGTCAAAATTTATTCAATCTTTCTCACCGAGTAAGCAAAATGTGTAATTTTCCTTACCATTAACTAATTGATTATGGACCAACAAATTCTTTTCCATGTCTTGATATGAAAAAAGTTACCGGATATAATTTTGTTGGGTTCTTTGACTACCATCCATTTGATTTCTTAGGTCGGTCCAATGGAGATATATTGTAAGGATAACACTCTACGATAAAAAAATATTATTCTTATACTGTTCAATTATTTAAAATAATATGCCAATCCTATTCAACTCAAGTTAGTAATAATATAAAATTTATTTAGACATTTTTATTATTTTATTTTATTTTTTCCTATATTTATTTGTTGTCAGTTGGGTAGGTCTTGCCTATTTAATATATAAATTTATTTGTTATAAGTTATAAAATATTATAAATGTCTAAGATATTAAAAATTATGTTTGTGTTCAAATTACATATATGTATTTATGAAATTATTGATTATTTTAATCTTATAACTTTTTAACAATTCATAGTTTGATTTTTGCTTGATTATTAAACAAAGTTTGACCCATAGAATTTATCATCCTTCATTATAATTATAAATGCACGTAAGTGTAATAGTTTGATAACTAAAGATTAATTTTTAGTAGCTGTGCTCACTTACCCAACACAATTCTTTCATGGTAAAATGTTTTATTTTAGTTTCATATTTTTATGTCATTGTATATTTTTGTAATTCGTTTTTTAAAATATATAATGTGTTAATTAATATAAAATTGAATATGTGGATATATTATATATTAAAATGATTAACAAATGCTATAATTTCCACTATAAAAAATTGTTATATTCTAACGGAAAATCCTATGGTAATATATTCCAATAGAAATTTCAACAGATATTCCAATGGTATAGCTTCCGATAGAATGATTCCAATGGAATTTCCAACGAAAATATTCCGTTTGGAATGTATTTTTCATTGAAATTTTAGATGAAATTTGATGATTCTAACGGCTATATTTCCAACGGCTTTTGACTGTAAGAATTTCTGTTGGAATTTTTATTTCCACCACCGTTAAAAAAATCTACCGTTGGAATGTCAAAACTCAACGAATATTCCAATGGAAAACTCATTCCAATGGAATATTTTTGTTGGAATTTCCGTTATTCTAAAAATTTGAAAACGAAGACAGAATTTTTTCTTGAATTAATAAAAGAAAGTCTTATTATTTATAAATCCATTTCCACTAATGAAAGAAAACACTTTCAGTATGAAAAATGTTATTGGTTGTGAATTATTTAAAGACTAATTCTTTTTAGGGTATTAGGCATCAAAATTTGGATTTTCATAGAGGTTTTTTAAATCCACCGGTGAGATATACACGAAAAACATGTAGAATCATCATTAGGACCATCTATTTCCGTTGGAATTTCATTGAAGTATCCATTGGAATTGTCGTTGGAATTCTATTGGATTATATTTCCCTTAGAATTTCATCATTTTCTTGTAGTGTTCAATTATGATACTTGACTATATTATTTACACATTTTTATTTATAAAATACTACATAATAAAAATTATAATTCTGTTACAACTTGAATAGGTTCTAATGTATATAAATATTTATAACGTAAAACTTATAATTTTAAATTGCATGCGACCATCAAATAGAATTTTATTAACATGTTATTTTAATCCTTCGTGACTACTATCAATACAAAAAGTATATTCAATGGAGATTTACTTATTTATGGTTAAGTTCACTAAATTTAAGCAAATTTCCATAATACATTTAAATTATTTATTAAATTAATATGATTCAAAATTCAAACTTAATTTTTTTGATTATTTTATTATAATATATTAATTGCTTATGGTCGTTGAATATAACTAATTAAATTAATATTTACAACCATGGGATGCTATTATCTCTTATCAAATCAATTTTCACAATTATAATGAACAATTTTTTTTTTTAAAAAAAAATTTTGTCAACAAATTATTATGAAATAAATATTAAGATCTTATTTAAAATATATATCATCAATCAATAGCTTTGTTTAAGTCAACTTATAACTAAAGAATATTAGCAAGTAAATAAACAAAAAATAATTATTTTTATAAATATAATTTTCTTCTAAATAAAGGTTAATTATATATTAAATACAGGTCGAAAAGCTTCCCCCAAACTATATATGTGAATTTATTATGGCTATGTTTGGTAGTCAAATAAGCTAGCGTATAGCTTATTTGGTTAACTTATAAGGTTCCTGTGTTAAAATAAGCCTCGTTTGGTAGGACAAACTTTTTAAAAAGCTCGAGCTTATCTCATAAGCTTGTTTAGGCAGCTTTTCAAATAAGTTAGTTGAAATTTTTATTTCAGCTAGCTTATCAGCTAATTTTACCAAATATTTTTCATATAATTTTGCTTTTCAGCTATAAGTCATAAGTTATAAGTTATAAGCTCGAAAATTACATATAAGCTATAAGCTAGTTTATCAACTATTAGCTAGCTTCTAGTTTACTAAACATAGACTAATTTTACCAAACAATTTTATCATATAATCTAGCTTCATATGCTATAAGTTATAAGCTCAAAAATTACATATAAAACATAAGCTAACTTATCAGCCATCAGTTAGGTTATCAGCTAGTTTTACCAAACATAGCCTATATAATATAGATCACGCTCCATTTTTATAATTTATGATAGATTACACATATATGCATAATGGAAATGAGTCCTTTTCCCCTTTTCATAATGTGCCCGAAAGGTCAGACAAATCCTGTTTCGTTTCATACTACATATAAATCTCAGAAGTGCACACACCACACCACAATATTCTTACATTCAATATTTTATTCAAAATTTTAAAAACAAAACATTTAATCATTACACAAATTTATCATGTCCTCAATGTTGTATACTGTTGGCTTGGCGGTAGGCAGCACCCGAATCCGATTGCCCAGAAACCATAACTTTGCAATAGCTGCTTTTCTCACTGGACGATCGACTAGTCAGGCTAGGCGGCTTAATCGTTTCTGAACACCAAAAGCAATATTATTTCATAAAATAAAATAAAAACAAAAAAATTGTGTAGCACAATGTTATTTAATCTTACTTTTCATGCAATAATGTTCGCAATAGCAAAATACTTCATCGATCCCAGGGTATTGATCACAATGCGGGTAAGGGTTAAGTCCGTCAAAGTAATCGTAGCACAGTTGAGCGCAACACTGTGGAGAGATGCTTTTTCCGCAAATGCCTAAAATACTTACGCATGTGTACGGTGGGGATGGCCTTCCCACATCCTTTGATCCACCTAATCGTCCGATTTTGTCACCTGCTTACATAATCACGACGTGAAATAATTCGCGTGCGATTAATTTAATTTAGATGAATAATTTTACAATAGTATTTATGAAAGAGTGGAGTTATAAGAATTAGTTTGTAAGACATTATTCATCAATCTTTGCAAAAACCATGTACCTTGAACTGAAGAAAGGATTAACACTAGAAATATGAACAAAGTTAGACTATGTCTTGACATGTTACTATGTTATAGGTGAAATGTAGAGTTGAAATAATTAAGATTTTGTTCCCTCTCTTGCTTGTTTTATATAGTTGGAGAAAACCAAAATATATTGGTGGTGTTATTTATCATATATGCGGTTTTATATATTCATCAAGTGTATGAAATCTAAAAGGTATATGTATATTTGAACAACCTACATATTTTGCTGATGAGATTGTGGATTACTTAATAATGTTATTACATGAATTGAGGTAAAGTACTTGGCCGGTCGGTCGTTTTAAGAAGGCATTTCTAGGATCTCATCGGTTTATTGTTTTGATTTTGAAATTTATGCAATTTTAATTGAAACATTTAAAAGTTAACGTATTTATTTTTAGACTTTTGATTTAAAATGTTTGGTTCATACCACTTTTGTAAAAGTTCATTTTTTTTTTTGAATGGACTTTAGTAAAATTGACTACTCCAATGGTCTCCATACATTGTTTCGCTAGATTAGACTTTTTGGATAAATAACTATCTATAAATTCATATTTAATGTAACACCAAATACAAATTAATTATTCAAATGTGACTTTTGACGTGCTTACGAACAAGCTATGTCTGTTGATATATGACTTCCTCAAGTTGTCACTTTAGCTAGCATAATCTAAATTGAATATCTAAGAAAGCTCAAATTTAAAGCAGACAAATCTCCAAAAATCTCATTGGAAAAAATGCAATTTTCATCCACTAATTTGAGTGGTTATCCATTTTCGTCCACTAACTTTTTAAGAATGTAATTTGGTATAATAATTTTTATTTTGTGTCAATTTCATTAAAAAAAGCGACATAAGATTTAAATTGAAACTCGTTGATTACTAACATTAAAACCTGACATAAGATTTAAATTGAAACTCGTTGATTACTAACATTAAAACCTGAAATAAATTAAAAACATTTATAGAAAGAGAGAACAAGAAAAAATAAGAAAAAAAAAAAGAGGTCATTCACTAATTTTGTACAAAGGATTGAACGGAAATCTGTATTCAAAATTGATGACGACAAATTATGTTATCAATAAGCTGGAACATCAAACTACAATTCTAGTGATGTAGATGTCTAATTTTTCATTTGAAGATATCATTTGAAATTAATGCTATTGATTTGTAGGAACAAAGTGTATATTTTATATATTTATTAGTGTATTTATATGTTTATTTTTGTCGCACTTACATATTTTTCGATTTATTTATTTATTAGATGAATTCAAGTGTTATAATATATTTATAATTTATTTTCAAACTATTAAATTACTTTCATGTACGGCGAGACATAAGATGTAATATCAGCCAACATAGTCTGGGAATACCCTATACCAGTCTGGAAGTGTTACCATGGCTTTGTGGGGACTCAAGACAAGCTGAGACACAAAGGGATGCCAGTTGACTCTATTTGCAGCCATTGTGGTGAACAAGAAGAGACTTTTGAGCATATTTTTTCTCTTGCCTGAGAGCTCAGAAGGTTTGGAAACTTGCAGGGGTAACTTGGGATGGGCTTCACAGGGCAGAACATTGTTTTAAGTGGTGGTGGCAAGACATAACTCAAATGAAAAATTTCCTAGGTGCCAAAGACAGAATCAACCTCTCCACATATGTTCTTTGGTGGCTATGGAAAACCCGGAATTGTTGGGTGTTCAGGAAGGAATGGATCTCGGAGTTTGAAACAGCAAAGGGGGCTCGTTTGGAGTGGATGGAATTTTCTCAGATCAGGGCCGTCTCAACAATTTCGAGGGCCCTTGGGCAAGTAAGACACAAAGGGCCCGACAACTTAATTAAAATTTAAATATAACAATTGAGTATATAGTACTGTTTATAAGAGATAACTTGCAATGTATATTTAGCCAATAAAAAAAGCAGTACATTTAAGAAGGTAAAACAATAGTAAAATTTTGGATACCTCAAAGAAAACACACTATTCATATGGGTAAAACCGAAATTTGACACAAAAAGATATCCACACTCTCTCTCTTTACCGACACTCTCAATATATAGGGTGTCTTTTTTTTTTTTTTTTTTTTT